AGAGGGTGAAGCCAGGTCCAGTCCGTTAGCCATCCAATATTTTATCTCTGAATCAGAAAATATGATTCCGCCATCGTCCTCTTTATCATGTCCAGTTGAATATCGTGAGTGTCCTCCTCGTGCATGAAGATCTGCGCGGAGATCTGCGAGGAGGTTGATGACTTGAGCATGAGAGCCACCTGGCTGTCCATCATGCAAGGTCCTTTCCTCCTCGTGGAGCCTGCGAACCGCTTCCTCCATCAGGTCCATCATCTGTTGGGAGAAATTGCTGCATGAAGGTCCTTCATTGAACGTCTGCGGCTCGACTATAGTGACGGTCTATCGCCGATCTGAGAGGGTAGCGATATGTTCCAAGGATCACTGTGCCTCATGGGTCCTTGATGTCTGCGCCATAAAGGTATCTCGGACGCCTCGCGTAGATAAGGTTGCTGGTCCACGTTACCGTAGCTGAGGCTTTCGTCTTCTTTTAGGCAATACCTCTGGGATGAGGATAGGAGGTTCGTCATATATGCCTATTTCATCAATCGGGACGATCTCAGTACAAAAGGTCCTCAGATTCTGTGATGAGCCCCGGAAGACTTCGATGAAGGCTTAACTGCAGAAGGCTTCTTCTGAGAAGATGATGGTCTCTTCTTCTTAGTATGGGCTGAGGAGTTGTCCAAGTAGACGATCTCTTTCTCAAGGTAATGGCGGACTCTATCCCATGCCCATCTTCCTAAGACGCCTCGGAGATCACTGGAAGGAAGCATCTCGTCCTGACAATAACAAACGGTTCCTTAAAGACTCAGCCGGTTTGGCCATGACTTGCAACAGCCATCTGGATTTATCCTTAGCACGCGTCTAAGCAGAGAAAATTGATAATTATTAAAATCAAAATCTGTTAAATGCTGACAAATATTACAGCGAGAGCTGGAAGTACATGTTGTTGTGCAACTGGGGCACAATAAATGCGGGTCTGCAGCAGAGAACCTAAATTTGCAACGAAAACAGGTTATCATGAAATGTAAACAAACTGAACAATCACGTAAAAACATGAATAAACAGTCAAAATTGATAATAAATTTCAAAGCATATTGTAGAAGGATACTGCCTGAAACCTTATACAGGTAATTTAGAGGGTAATATCTAAGTTAGAAAAGGATATAGTGCCGTGTAGGAGACCCAGGTGCTCTCCCAACCGTCCACTAGAGCGAAGAAGGAGAGAGTGAGGAGCTGGGAGACGAGTGGCGCCGTTTCCCGCCAAAACTGGGAAGGGAGATAACTCTTGGTGAGTAGTGATTTTACGTCTGCTTTTTTTAAGGGACTTCAAAAAGGGGATTCAAGTGTTCCACTAACGTTCGCAAGGAGAAGAAGACAAGCAAAATAGCATTAGTCAGGATAAGGAAAAATAATGTTTTTGATCTGCTTATTATGTCCATTTCTGTAATGATTTGATTGCAGTGCCTCTCTGATTTTGAATTCGTACTGACATTTTATTTTGCTGCTGAGTATATATGAGGAACGAATTGAATGACAGCATTGCCAAAGGTAATATTTTTGGTCATTTTATCAGGGAATTAACAAATAATAAAGAGATGAGATGCTTTTGGAAGTAAATATTTGCGTATATGTAATTATACTGTTACAAGTAATTATATGTATACAAGTTACATAAAATAGTCATGTTCAATAGACTGGGGTTTTAAATAATATTTTCAGTTCTCAGTTGATTTTTATCATTATTTTGGTTAGAGAAACTGCTGCTCTATTTTGCCACCAAGGTCTTTTCCGCCATGTTTGTTGTGAGAGAACACGAAACCGAAACTGTGAAACCTGCCTCTGAGATGGTTTTGAAGTTTCAGAACCCAGTTTTAGGTTTCGACATAAACGAGTGCATGGTTTTCCAGAAACCAAAACCGGTTTAGCACAATCGAATAGGCTCTAAGAAACCCCAGTGGTTCTATACCCTGATAAAATCTATGGTCTGGTTGTGGATATCTAAGTGGCTCCATACCCCGATGTAATCTATGGTGAGGTTGGGGATATCCCAGGCTCCCTAAGTGAGTGGCTCCATACCAGATGTCATCTATGGTCAAGTTGAGACTCCTGAGTGGCTCAATACCCGATGTGATCTTTGGACAGGTTGAGACCTTTAAGTGGCTCCATACTCCAATATAATCTATGGTCAGGTTTTGGATATCCCAGGCTCCCTAGTGGCTCCATACCCCGACATAATCTATGGTCAGGTTGAGACACCTTAGTGGCTCCTCTATGGTCAGGTTGTGGATATCTCAGGCCCTCTAGTGGCTCCATACGCCGATACAATCTATGGTCAGGTTGTGGACATCTCAGGCTCCCTTGTGGTTCCATAACCCGACATAATCAATGGTCAGGTTGTGGATATCTAAAACTCCCTAGTGGCTCCATACCCCGATATAATCTATGGTCAGAGTGTGGATATCTAAGACTCCCTAGTGGATCCATACCCCGATATAATCTATGGTCAGATTGTGGTTATCTCAGGCTCCCTAGTGGCTCCATACCCCGATATAATCAATGGTCAGGTTGTGGATATTTAAGACTCCCTAGTAGATCCATACCCCGATATAATTTATGGTCAGGTTGTGGATATCTTAGGCTCCCTAGTGGATCCATACCCTGATATAATCAATGGTCAGGTTGTGGATATCTAAGACTCCCTAGTGGATCCATACCCCGATATAATTTAAGGTCAGATTGTGGATATCTCAGGCTCCCTAGTGGCTCCATACCCCGATATAATCTATGGTCAGGTTGTGGATATCTAAGGCTCCCTAGTGGATCTATACCCCGATATAATCTATGGTCAGGTTGTGGATATCCAAAACTCCCTAGTGGCTCCATACCCCGATATAATCTATGGTCAGGTTGTGGATATCCCAGGCTCCTTAGTGGTTCCATACCTGATGTAATCTATGGACAGGTTGAGACTCCTTAGTGGTTCCATACCCCAATATAATCTATGGTCAGGTTGCGGATATCCAAGGCTCCCAAGTGGCTCCATACCCCGATATAATCTATGGACAGGTTTAGACTCCTTAGTAGCTCCATACCCCGATATAATCTATGGTCAGGTTGTGGATATCTCAGGCTCCCTAGTGGCTCCATACCATGATATAATCTATGGTCAGGTTGTGGATATCCAAAACACCCTAGTGGCTCCATACCCCGATATAATCAATGGTCAGGTTGTGGATATCTCAGGCTCCCTAGTGGCTCCATACCCCGATATAATCTATGGTCAGGTTGTGGATATCTAAAACTCCCTAGTGGCACCATACCCCGATATAATCAAGGGTGAGGTTGTGGATATCTAAACTCCCTAGTGGCTCCATACCCCGATATAATTTATGGTCACGCTGTGGATATCTAAGACTCCCTAGTGTCTCCATACCCTGATATAATCTATGGTCAGGTTGAGGATATCTCGGGCTCCCTAGTGGATTCATACCCCGATATAATCTATGGTCAGATTGTGGATATCTCAGGCTCCCTAGTGTCTCCATACCCCGATATAATCAATGGTGAGGTTGTGGATATCCAAAACTCCCTAATGGCTACATACCCCGATATAATCTATGGTCAGATTGTGGATATCCCAAACTCATTAGTGGATCCATACCCCGATATAATCTATGGTCAGATTGTGGCTATCTCAGGCTCCCTAGTGGCTCCATACCCTGATATAATCAATGGTCAGGTTGTGGATATCTAAAACTCCCTAGTGGCTCCATACCCCGATATAATCTATTGTCAAGTTGTGGATATCTAATACTCCCTAGTGTCTCCATACCCCGATATAATCTATGGTCAGGTTGTGGATATCTAAAACTCCCTAGTGGCTCCATACCCCGATATAATCAATGGTCAGGTTGTGGATATCTAAACTCCCTAGTGGCTCCATACCCCGATATAATCTATGGTCAGGTTGTGGATATCCCAGGCTCCCAAGTGGCTCCATACCCCGACATAATCTATGGTCAGGTTGAGACACCTTAGTGGCTCCACACCCGATGTAATCTATGGACAGGTTGAGACTCCCTAGTGGCTCCATACCCGACGTGATCTTTGGAAAGGTGGAGACCTTTTAGTGGCTCCATACCCCAGTATAATCTATGGTCAGGTTGTGGATATCCCAGGCTCCCAAGTGGCTCCATACCACGACATAATCAATGGTCAGGTTGAGACTCCTTAGTGGCTCCATACCCGATGTAATCTATGGTCAGGTTGAGACTCATTAGTGGCTCCATACCCCGACATAATAAATGGACAGGTTGTGGATATCTCAGGCTCCCTATTGGCTCCATACCCCGATATAATCAATGGTCAGGTTGTGGATATCCAAAACTCCCTAGTGGCTCCATACCCCGATATAATCTATGGTCAGGTTGTGGATATCACAGGCTCCTTAGTGGCTCCATACCTGATGTAATCTATGGACAGGTTGAAACTTTTTGGTGGCTCCATACCCCAATATAATCAATGGTCAGGTTGTGGATATCTAAGACTCCCTAGTGGCTCCGAACCCCGACATAATCTATGGTCGGGTTGTGGATATCTCAGGCTCCCTAGTAGATCCATAACCCGATATAATTTATGGTCAGGTTGTGGATATCTTAGGCTCCCTAGTGGATCAATACCCCGATATAATTTATGGTCATATTGTGGATATCTAAGACTCCTTAGTGGATCCATACCCCGATATAATTTATGGTCAGATTGTGAATATCTTAGGCTCCCAAGTGGCTCCATACCCCGATATAATCTATGGTCAGGTTGTGGATATCTAAAACTCCCTAGTGGATCCATACCCCGATATAATTTATGGTCAGGTTGTGGATATCTCAGGCTACCAAGTGGCTCCATACCCTGATAAAATCTATGGTCTGGTTGTGGATATTTAAGACTCCCTAGTGGCTCCATATCCTGATATATTCTATGGTCAGATTGTGGATATCTCAGGCTCCCTAGTGACTCCATACCCCGATATAATCTATGGTCAGGTTGTGGATATCTAAACTCCCTAGTGGCTCCATACCCCGATATAATTTATGGTCAGGTTGTGGATATCTAAGACTCCTAGTGGCTCCATACCCTGATATAATCTATGGTCAGGTTCTGGATATCTCGGGCTCCCTAGTGGCTCCATACCCCGATATAATCAATGGTCAGATTGTGGATATCTCAGGCTCCCTAGTGGCTCTATACCCCGATATAATCAATGGTGAGGTTGTGGATATCTAAAACTCCCTAGTGGCTCCATACCCTGATATAATCTATGGTCAGGTTGGGGATATCTAAGACTCCCTAGTGGATCCATACCCCGATATAGTTTATGGTCAGGTTGTGGTTATCTCAGGCTCCCTAGTGGCTCCATACCCCGATATAATCAATGGTCAGGTTGTGGATATCTAAGACTCCCTAGTAGATCCATAACCCGATATAATTTATGGTCAGGTTGTGGATATCTTAGGCTCCCTAGTGGATCAATACCCCGATATAATTTATGGTCAGATTGTGGATATCTAAGACTCCCTAGTGGATCCATACCCCGATATAATTTATGGTCAGATTGTGGATATCTTAGGCTCCCAAGAGGCTCCATACCCCGATATAATCTATGGTCAGGTTGTGGATATCTAAAACTCCCTAGTGGATCCATACCCCGATATAATTTATGGTCAGGTTGTGGATATCTCAGGCTACCTAGTGGCTCCATACCCTGATAAAATCTATGGTCTGGTTGTGGATATCTAAGACTCCCTAGTGGATCCATACCCCGATATAATTTATGGTCAGATTGTGGATATCTCAGGCTCCCTAGTGGTTCCATACCCCAATATAATCTATGGTCAGGTTGAGGATATCTAAGACTCCCTAGTGAATCCATACCCCGATATAATTTATGGTCAGATTGTGGATATCTCAGGCTCCCTAGTGACTCCATATCCCGATATAATCAATGGTCAGGTTGTGGATATTTAAAACTCCTTAGTGGCTCCATACCCCGATATAATCTATGGTCAGGTTGTGGATATCCCAGGCTCCTTAGTGGCTCCATACCTGATGTAATCTATGGGCAGGTTGAAACTTTTTAGTGGCTCCATACCCCAAAATAATCTATGGTCAGGTTGTGGATATCCAAGGCTCCCAAGTGGCTCCATACCTCGACATAATCTATGGACAGGTTTAGACTCCTTAGTGGCTCCATATCCTGATATATTCTATGGTCAGGTTGTGGATATCTCAGGCTCCCTAGTGGATCAATACCCCGATATAATTTATGGTCATATTGTGGATATCTAAGACTCCTTAGTGGATCCATACCCCGATATAATTTATGGTCAGATTGTGAATATCTTAGGCTCCCAAGTGGCTCCATACCCCATATAATCTATGGTCAGGTTGTGGATATCTAAAACTCCTAGTGGATCCATACCCGATATAATTTATGGTCAGGTTGTGGATATCTCAGGCTACCAAGTGGCTCCATACCCTGATAAAATCTATGGTCTGGTTGTGGATATTTAAGACTCCCTAGTGGCTCCATATCCTGATATATTCTATGGTCAGATTGTGGATATCTCAGGCTCCTAGTGACTCCATACCCCGATATAATCTATGGTCAGGTTGTGGATATCTAAACTCCCTAGTGGCTCCATACCCCGATATAATTTATGGTCAGGTTGTGGATATCTAAGACTTCCTAGTGGCTCCATACCCTGATATAATCTATGGTCAGGTTCTGGATATCTCGGGCTCCCTAGTGGCTCCATACCCCGATATAATCAATGGTCAGATTGTGGATATCTCAGGCTCCCTAGTGGCTCTATACCCCGATATAATCAATGGTGAGGTTGTGGATATCTAAAACTCCCTAGTGGCTCCATACCCTGATATAATCTATGGTCAGGTTGTGGATATCTAAGACTCCCTAGTGGATCCATACCCCGATATAGTTTATGGTCAGGTTGTGGTTATCTCAGGCTCCCTAGTGGCTCCATACCCCGATATAATCAATGGTCAGGTTGTGGATATCTAAGACTCCCTAGTAGATCCATAACCCGATATAATTTATGGTCAGGTTGTGGATATCTTAGGCTCCCTAGTGGATCAATACCCCGATATAATTTATGGTCAGATTGTGGATATCTAAGACTCCCTAGTGGATCCATACCCCGATATAATTTATGGTCAGATTGTGGATATCTTAGGCTCCCAAGAGGCTCCATACCCCGATATAATCTATGGTCAGGTTGTGGATATCTAAAACTCCCTAGTGGATCCATACCCCGATATAATTTATGGTCAGGTTGTGGATATCTCAGGCTACCTAGTGGCTCCATACCCTGATAAAATCTATGGTCTGGTTGTGGATATCTAAGACTCCCTAGTGGATCCATACCCCGATAATTTATGGTCAGATTGTGGATATCTCAGGCTCCTAGTGGTTCCATACCCCAATATAATCTATGGTCAGGTTGAGGATATCTAAGACTCCTAGTGAATCCATACCCCGATATAATTTATGGTCAGATTGTGGATATCTCAGGCTCCCTAGTGACTCCATATCCCGATATAATCAATGGTCAGGTTGTGGATATTTTAAACTCCTTAGTGGCTCCATACCCCGATATAATCTATGGTCAGGTTGTGGATATCCCAGGCTCCTTAGTGGCTCCATACCTGATGTAATCTATGGGCAGGTTGAAACTTTTTAGTGGCTCCATACCCCAAAATAATCTATGGTCAGGTTGTGGATATCCAAGGCTCCCAAGTGGCTCCATACCCCGACATAATCTATGGACAGGTTTAGACTCCTTAGTGGCTCCATATCCTGATATATTCTATGGTCAGGTTGTGGATATCTCAGGCTCCCTAGTGGATCAATACCCCGATATAATTTATGGTCATATTGTGGATATCTAAGACTCCTTAGTGGATCCATACCCCGATATAATTTATGGTCAGATTGTGAATATCTTAGGCTCCCAAGTGGCTCCATACCCCGATATAATCTATGGTCAGGTTGTGGATATCTAAAACTCCCTAGTGGATCCATACCCCGATATAATTTATGGTCAGGTTGTGGATATCTCAGGCTACCAAGTGGCTCCATACCCTGATAAAATCTATGGTCTGGTTGTGGATATTTAAGACTCCCTAGTGGCTCCATATCCTGATATATTCTATGGTCAGATTGTGGATATCTCAGGCTCCCTAGTGACTCCATACCCCGATATAATCTATGGTCAGGTTGTGGATAAGTTAACTCCCTAGTGGCTCCATACCCCGATATAATTTATGGTCAGGTTGTGGATATCTAAGACTTCCTAGTGGCTCCATACCCTGATATAATCTATGGTCAGGTTCTGGATATCTCGGGCTCCCTAGTGGCTCCATACCCCGATATAATCAATGGTCAGATTGTGGATATCTCAGGCTCCCTAGTGGCTCTATACCCCGATATAATCAATGCTGAGGTTGTGGATATCTAAAACTCCCTAGTGGCTCCATACCCTGATATAATCTATGGTCAGGTTGTGGATATCTAAGACTCCCTAGTGGATCCATACCCCGATATAGTTTATGGTCAGGTTGTGGTTATCTCAGGCTCCCTAGTGGCTCCATACCCCGATATAATCAATGGTCAGGTTGTGGATATCTAAGACTCCCTAGTAGATCCATAACCCGATATAATTTATGGTCAGGTTGTGGATATCTTAGACTCCTTAGTGGATCAATACCCGATATAATTTATGGTCAGATTGTGGATATCTAAGACTCCCTAGTGGATCCATACCCGATATAATTTATGGTCAGATTGTGGATATCTTAGGCTCCCAAGAGGCTCCATACCCCGATATAATCTATGGTCAGGTTGTGGATATCTAAAACTCCCTAGTGGATCCATACCCCGATATAATTTATGGTCAGGTTGTGGATATCTCAGGCTACCTAGTGGCTCCATACCCTGATAAAATCTATGGTCTGGTTGTGGATATCTAAGACTCCCTAGTGGATCCATACCCCGATATAATTTATGGTCAGATTGTGGATATCTCAGGCTCCCTAGTGGTTCCATACCCCAATATAATCTATGGTCAGGTTGAGGATATCTAAGACTCCCTAGTGAATCCATACCCCGATATAATTTATGGTCAGATTGTGGATATCTCAGGCTCCCTAGTGACTCCATATCCCGATATAATCAATGGTCAGGTTGTGGATATTTAAAACTCCTTAGTGGCTCCATACCCCGATATAATCTATGGTCAGGTTGTGGATATCCCAGGCTCCTTAGTGGCTCCATACCTGATGTAATCTATGGGCAGGTTGAAACTTTTTAGTTGCTCCATACCCCAAAATAATCTATGGTCAGGTTGTGGATATCCAAGGCTCCCAAGTGGCTCCATACCCCGACATAATCTATGGACAGGTTTAGACTCCTTAGTGGCTCCATATCCTGATATATTCTATGGTCAGGTTGTGGATATCTCAGGCTCCCTAGTGACTCCATACCCCGATATAATCAATGGTCAGGTTGTGGATATCTAAACTCCCTAGTGGCTCCATACCCCGATATAATCTATGGTCAGGTTGTGGATATCTCAGGCTCCCTAGTGACTCCATACCCCGATATAATCAATGGTCAGGTTGTGGATATCTAAAACTCCCTAGTGGCTCTATACCCCGATATAATCAAATACCAGCGCCTTGAGCATGCACTAGTGCGTGAATATGTGCTCTATATAAATATCCTATAATAAAATAATAATGGTCAGGTTGTGGATATCTAAAACTCCCAAGTGTCTCCATACCCTGATATAATCTATGGTCAGGTTGGGGATATCTAAGACTCCCTAGTGACTCCCTACCCTGATATAATCTATGGTCAGGTTGTGGATATCTCAGGCTCCCTAGTGACTCCATACCCTGATATAATCTATGGTCAGGTTGTGGATATCTAAGACTCCCTAGTGACTCCCTACCCTGATATAATCTATGGTCAGGTT